TATTATAAGTATGTTTATTTTCCAAAAGTTTGATGACAAAAAAATAAAAAATGACTTTGATATGACGATTTAAAATTTTAGGATTTTTATTAAAAATCAATCATTTACAAAGGCATTTTTTTCAAATATGTTATTTTTTATGATAATCAACGACATTTAATGCACAAAGATAAAATAAATAAACAATTATTACTGAAATAAGTTGGTTTAAATGACATTTATGTGAGTACCACGAAAAGTGTCTGTTGTCACCTTAAGGTATCTGTTCACACTTTAAGTTAGTAAAAATATGACACTGGTTATATTACCATGTTGATCATGTTGAGCATAATTGTTTATTATACAATAATTGTAATATCTATTAATTTTAATTTAAAAAAAATACAAATTTTATGAATATTGTTTTCTTTTATTCTTTTTTGTGTTTATGTGCTATTTTAATACTGAGTTTTTACTACTCTTTTTTATTAAAATTGTAAAATAAATTTTAGGAATTCAATTGTCATATTGACCGACGATTATAAGTCAAAGCTTAACTGGAAAAAGTCAGTAAATTATGGTTATCTTTCAATCTATAATATTGTTTTATTCTTAAACCATGTACATGTACATTGTATTTTTCTTTATCATTTTTTAAATTATCGATCAATTGAATAATTCATGAAATCTAATTTGTAACTTTGAATAATTCCTCGGCATCTTTACTAAACACGGATAACAAATTGAATAATTAAATAAAATGTTTCAAAGTTGATAATGTCATTTTAATACCATAAAAAATGTACCTTTTTCTCAATTATTGTACATATCACGGATTTATATTACATATAAATCCGTGTACATATTTATTGTTTTTATCTCATATAGATAAAATGAAACATGCTATTGTTTTTTTTTTTCTAATTGTAACGATATCAAACATCTACTCCAAAACCGGGAGAGACCGGACAATATAACGTGTGGTACTATTCGCCGGTCACTAGTAAATCCTGGTCAAAATAGACCGGGGAGAGACCGGCATTTACCGATAGGAGTGATAAAAAGATATATCTATAAATAGGTTTTTGGAATATTTAGGTCATCAACTGATCATTCTAGGATACATGTACAACAATAACATACCATGACATGATAACCGACTGTGTACTACAAAATGATAAATAAAAAACCCCGAAGAGCGCGATTTATTGACGGAAAAGGTTATTTCATTTGTAAATGTTTGCATTGCGAAAATTCATTGTAACATATCGCGACATTTCATTCTTATTTAATAATCAAGCACCCTCATACCGATCGGAATTTTCGGCATTTATTATGACCGACTAAAAGACTCGAGAAGTTGCTTTCGCCCTTTCTCAAAATCTGATCTCATTCCATAAGAGCGCCGCGCTTCGGCGCGGACGCCAATAACTAAACAAACAGAAAACAAATACGGAAGAAAAAAAAGAAACATAATATTTAAATGAAAAAATATAGAGCATGTGTTTGGGGAACAATATAAATGGAATGTTGAAAAAAAAAGAAAAAAATGTTACGCTATAGTGCAGATGAATATCAGTAGTAAAAAATGTGGCTTAAGATATTATTTAATCTGCATTTGGTCTTCAGTTTGATGTCAACATACTAACACGTTAGGTGTTATAATGGAAGATCATTTCATGACTAATTCAAACTAAAATACCTATCGGACAATCGTATACTTATGCAAATTAGTAAATCACACTGTTAACTGTTACTTATACATGTATATAAGATTGCATGCATGACCAATTACAACAAGAAGGTTGTTTACCCTTGCCGCCGTAATAGAATTATATGAACAATTTAACAACGAGATAATTTCGTGAATCGATAGTCAGTCCTTGGCTGTACACATGTGAAATCTGCCATGTGTCCTTAAATTTGTCATGAGAAGAAATAACACATAGTAGTACCGGAAGACGGACAAAACACCATACGTCAAAACGCACACCTCAAAATTTTATAGAGTGGACAAAACCCCACACATGAATTTTATAGAGTGGACAAAACCCCAGATATTAATTTTAAAGAGTGAACATGACCCCATACTTTTGTTACTAATTTGAATAGACCGTTGATTGATAATAAAATAACCAACATTATTGACATTTTACATAATGAATGTTAATAAAGATATTAAGATTAATGAATGTTCACCCTCTGATTTTTATTTAACAAATTCTAATATTTGAAAGTTAACGCTTTGATCTTTATCTAACTGTTTGTAATATTAATTTTGTATAGATTATTATAATTCTATCACATTGCATTCAATGCATTGTATACTGACATAAAAAATAAGATACCATTACATACATGTACATGATTACACCAATGTGTTTATCATAAGACACATGGGCTTTGAAGATTTAATCAGAACATCACAATATAATCTTCTCTACACTCACGGAGGGTGGAACCCCATATGGATATCAAAATTAATCATCGTAAAAGATGTAGTGAATTTCCACTTTTCCACATGTGAGCTTTAAGTCGATATTTGAAGGAGAAAATAGATAAGTCACATTGTGAGTTTTCAACATTTTAAACATTTATATAAAATACAAAGCTCCTTATAGGAAAATCGAAATGTGATTCTACTCTCCTGGCTTTCCTTTATATTTATTTACCCATATTGTTCGGATTTTTATGCCGTCTTCATCAAGATATACTTGCCGTCATGGGTTATGGTGTGCCCAAAATATGCAATATATATTGAGAATGTGTCGCAAAACGGACTCCAAATACAGAGTTTCCACCAAACGATGCCTAATATTCAAACAAAAACAAACCTTTATTGAAACATTTATTGAGAATAGGCTCAACATAAAAGAATTGCTGAACAAAATTCTAGTCGAGTTTCATGTGTGCTGAAGAGATCCATAGCTGATATAAGAAATGATAAACAAGATCAACAAGGAAAGGCGCGTTGCGGCGTTCAATGAACGCGAACCATCTACAAAACAGCGGATCACTTTCATAATAGTAACTGAATAGCATGTAAGTTTTGCCACGTGCATCTCACCTGTTGAAAGCAGGGCTGAATATCAAAATGTGAGGTAAAAAAATATAGATAAAATATTAACTTGACTTCCATACAAAATACTTAATAAATGCTACTTTATCAATTGCCAAAAAGCAACAGAAGTAAAAGATGGCTCTGGCAAATAGCTAATAAGTTACTTTTTGGAAACTATACTAGGACTCTAAGAATAAAAATATTGTTCGTGAACATGTCTTAAAGTGATGAGATTATATATTGTATTTATATTTTCCATATGCATCGGCATGCTACAGTTTTCAAAACTTTCCTGGAAGAGGAAATATTTGCATTCATATCCCAAATTTTTGGAAACTTATAGATTGATGCGACATCCGAATCACTTCTTGTGATCGATATATATTCATTTTTATCATCTTTGGATATGACCTAGATTATTGCGACATAATGTTTGTCTCCTATTTACTGTAAATAGAATACATGTTGATAAAATCAAACAGAAATATATGATGAAGAAACAGTTTCTTTTTGTTTTAATTCGTTTATTAGCAAATTTGCAATTCATAAAACATGACAATTATGGAATATTTAGGAACAATACAAAATATATAGTTATGAAATAATAAGTCCAATATACTACAGAAAATGGTACTCTAATTGAATAACTATAAATAACACAATTTACAAATACGATATAGTCAATCAACATTATTAAGCAAAACAATATTCCAGTTTATGAGCTTTTGAACTTATAATATGAATTTTTATATTTGTATCTTACAGTAAGTTTTAAAATGGTGTCAGCGAGTTAACAATTAATGCATGCCTGTCTTAAATATATGGTAAACTTTACTTATATACAGGTAGCCTGCCTGTTAGTATACACTAATAATACAATTGTTACTTGCAAACATATCAATGACATGATATAAGAATTGTCTACATGTAGCAGATCTATTACTAAGTCAATTCTTATTCATAATAACAGATTTTATATAATATCATTTTCATGATACAGCCAGAGTTGATACAGTACGCTGTATATTTATTTAACTTTTAAAAACAAACATTGTTAAAACTATCCACATATTTTCAGATTGGAATAATTCTCTAAATTTTAGTATGTTAGGTATCCTCGATATGCATTTGTCTAATTTTTTGGTATAGGGGACATTCAAATAAGTATTGGAATTCATCCTCTAGAGTGTTACATAGTTTACATTTTCTTTGATCAAATAATATTTTTTTATGTGGCTTATATAATAACATAATAATAATAATGAGGAGAATAATAATGATAATAAGGTAATAATTACTACCACTACTAACACCATTGCTGTTGCTGCTCTGTTGCTGATAATGATGATGATGATGATGATGATGATGATAATGATAATGATGATGATGATGATGGTGATGATGATGATGATGGTGATGATGATGATGATGATGATGATTTGTTACATACATCTCATTTATACTTTTGCTGTCCTGACTGTATTTTTACAAGATATAATTTTTAGAGAACATGATTTATCACTGACATTCCGAATCCTTTTTTCTTCTCTCTCATGTGAAAAAAAACCCAAATAACATTGAGGTTACTTCCCTTTTGTATGTATTCGTACGAGAGATATTCCATTAGGAAATGGTTTTCGCATGATTGATACGCGTGTATTAACAATGTTTTTTAAAGTTTATTACTATGAGAGTTTTTTTTCTCAGATATTTTGTATTAATAATTCTTCTCTCGTGTGACTGATAACTTAAAAAAATCCTTTCAAGAAATTTCCTTATCAAATAATTGACAACTTAAATTCCTCATATCTGTGTGCACTGCCATATGAGTTTCAAAATCATTTTTACAAGCAAATGCTTTGTCACATATTTCGCATTTTAAATTCTTCTCTCTCGTGTGCACAACCATATGAGTTTGAAGAGTACTCTTTTGAGCAAATGTTGTGTCACATATTTCACATTAAAATTTCTTCTCTCCCGTATGCACAACCATATGAATTCTGAGAGTATTTTTACGAGCAAATGCTTTGTCACATATTTCACATTTATAATTCTTCTCTCCTATGTGCACTGTCATATGTTTTTTAAAGTAACTTTTATCTGCAAGTGCTTTGTCACATATCTCACATTTATAATTCTTCTCTCCTATGTGCACTGTCATATGTTTTTTAAAGTAACTTTTATCTGCAAATGCTTTGTCACATATTTCACATTTATAATTCTTCTCTCCTGTGTGCACTGTCATATGCTTTTAAAGGTATTTTTATCTGCAAATGCTTTGTCACATATTTCACATTTATAATTCTTCTCTCCTGAATGTACTTCTATATGATTTTTTAAGTAACTTTATGAGTAAATGCTTTTTCACATATTTCATATTAATAATTCTTCTGTTTCTTCTGTGTTAAGTGTACTTCTATGTGAGTTTTAAGAGTACTTTTCTGAGCAAATGTTTTGTCACAAATTTCGCATTTATAATTCTTCTCTCCTGTGTGCACTGCCATATGAGCTTTAAGATTGCTTTTCTGAGCAAAAGCTTAGTCACATATTTCGCATTTATATTTCTTCTCTCCTGTGTGCACTGTCATATGAGTTGTAAGATTTCTTTTTTCTGCAAATGCTTTGTCACATACTTCGCATTCCTAATTCTTCTCTCCCGTGTGCACTGTCATATGAGTTTTTAGATTGCTTTTAATAGAAAAAGCTTTGTCACATATTTCGCATTTATATTTCTTCTCTCCTGTGTGCACTGTCATATGAATTTTCAGATGGCTATTGCGAGCAAATGCTTTCTCACATATTTTACATTCATAATTCTTCTCTCCCGTGTGTACTGCCATATGACTTTTTAGATGGCTATTGCGAGCAAATACTTTGTCACATATTCCACATTCATAATTCTTCTCTCTTGAATGTACTTCTATATGAGTTTTAAGAGTACTTTTAACTGCAAATGCTTTGTCACATATTCCACATTTATATTTCTTCCCATCTAAATGTACTTCTATATGAGTTTTTAAAGTAACTTTATGAGCAAATACTTTGTCACATATTCCACATTTATAATTCTTATGTTTCTTATGTCCTAAATGAACTTCTAAATGAGATTTAAGAGTAACTTTATGAGCAAATGTTTTGTCACATATTTGGCATTTGTAATTCTTCTCTCCCGTGTGCACAACCATATGAGATTTAAGATTATATTTCTGAGCAAATGCTTTGTCACATATTTCACATTTAAATTTCTTCTCTCTTGTGTGCACTGTCATATGAGTTTTAAGAGTACTTTTATCTGCAAATGCTTTGTCACACATTTCACATTGATAATTTTTCTCTCCTGTGTGTACTGCCATATGTGATTTCAGATGGCTATTGCGAGCAAATGCTTTTTTACATATTTCACATTTAAATTTCTTCTCTCCAGTGTGCACTGTCATATGAGTTTTAAGAGCACTTTTATCTGCAAATGCTTTGTCACATATTTCACATTTATAATTCTTCTCTTCTGTGTGCACTGCCATATGAGTCTTAAGATTACTTTTATCTGGAAATGCTGTGTCACACATTTCACATTTATAATTCTTCTCTCCTGTGTGTATTGCCATATGCATTTTAAGAAAATAGTTTCGTGAGAACAGTTGAAAACAACTATCGCATTGAATTATTTTACCACCAGTATGCATTTTCGTGTGCCTGATTTAGTGGGTTTTGTTTGCAGTTTTGTATTCGCAGACATCACATTTTGATAACTGCTTTTGTTCTGTACTCCTGCTCATGTTTGTGTTTGACAATACAGTTCTTGAATCCTATAAGATAAACAAGTAAATTTTAATCCCCTTTGTATTTCAAGTATTGTTACTGAAATTTTAGGTATGGTATCAGCTTTCAAGTATTGGAACGTAAAAGTCAAAACTAGCTCCATATTTCGAATGATAATTTTTATACTGATGACGTTCTTACTTTTTTTAAAGGATTATCAGAGAATTGTATTATAAATTTGTCTGTTAAAATACACTACAATGTGATAAGTACACAGAATTAAAGATGAAGTGAAGAAATTTAGAAATTTTCTTTGGAGTAAAACTAAAATTTAAATGTCAATGCAAGAATAATTTATGCTGTAAAAACAGTGTTCAATTTATCGTTTAAACATAATTACAAATAAAGATATATATTTACCCGTGTTCTGTTAACTTTCGAATGCAGTTTGTTTCTTCTTGTTACTTTGACTACCAAACAATTGAGATATAAATTCGTTTTTATTATGTATCATATCATGCAACTTTTTTAATGTAATGTCATAGTACTTAGAAATTGGCGTTTTATAGAACAGGGAGTTACTGAAACAAAGGGACATGTGAAAATGCTTACCGGATATATGTAATTGTTTTAATTGGTTAATTCCTGACACTTTATTTTGACACATGGAAGTATTCTATTCATTAGCCCGACATGCCCCATAACCTATCTCAAACGCATTATCAAATTAGTGCATAACAATAAGAACTTTGCCACAATCTATTTATTAACAAAAGAACACATGTCAATGCTTATGACTTTTGTTTTCTTAAATAAAAGGTGAGAGTAAGGATCATTTTATGTTAGTCTCAGACTATAAAGAACACGTAGTCAAATAGAATTTAAATATTAGCTGTTCATTGAAAACAAAAAAATACTTTATACATATTAATTAATATGCTGAATAATCATTACACTACATAAATTACTTCCCTAATGAAGGAAAGAAGAAAATAAAAACAAACTATATATGGTTTATCTTTTTTTATGTATTGTGATTGTTCTCTGTATATGACTCATTAATATTATTATTGATATTATTATGATTATTATTAGTATTAGTATTATGATTTTTTAATCATTATTGTTATCATCATCATTATCATCGTGGTCATCATCACCACCGTCATCATCATCATCATCATCATTATCATCGTTATTATTATTATTACAATTATTAAAGTCACATTATGAATATTTTTTCATTGTCAAGTTGAGCAAAATCTACTATATATTTCATACGATTAGGCATAATGTCACTTAAATCGTTAGGCAAAAGTAACACCCTGCATATCCAGTAACGCAGGAATGTGCAAATAACGTAAAAACAACGCCTTATTTGTGCAACGGTATTGGCTTAACGAATAACACAGTAAGTAAACGAACCAAAATATTTTATTCCAAATCAAATTCAAAGAAATGAATAAGCGCATATGGCTGATACGACATTATACTTTAACCAGCATTAACAAATTGTGCAGGAATATGTTTATTTTCTTTATAATTAGATCATTTGTGAGAAAGACAACCTGATTACCGTTTTGAATGTGACTTTTGTGTTTCGTCAAATAAATATGTTCATTTAACACATTTAAAATATATTTTTTCATATTCTGTTTACCTAAGAAATTTGTCAAACTGCAAGTGTCATATAAGAATAGAAGGAAGTTGGTAAAATAGGATTTTGCTACTTTTCATGAGATAACCGCCATTGCTTCAGTGCTTCATTCACCAATTCGGCGTAACCTCGTTAAAATGGTCTCAATTACATTTATCTGCTAAATAAAGTGTAAAATGACACGAGTAGAAAATGCCTCAAGTACATCGAATATAAAAAATCATAAAGTAATATGTATGTTAATGTTATTCAAAATATCAACAAAACTAAAAATCGCCATCAATACGCTTGTCAGGTCGTCATTTTCACGAAAGATCTTGAAAAGTAAACATTTTCATGGAAATATTTTGGATGAGGTTTAAAGAATAATGTCTCATCAAACGTATGCGCTTATTGATTTCTTCCAATTTGCTGTACAATTAAAAATAATTGTCCATTTACTTATCGCGGTTTTCGTTTCAGCCACTAAATAACACAATTCTGCGTTACTGTTGCACAATTCCTGCGTTATTTGCACATTCCTGCGTTACTGGATATACACGGTAAGTAAAGGGTCCATGAATGAATCTATCGATTTTTAGGGAAAAAAAGTATAGATCTACATGTAAATTTAAATTCGGAAGAATTTTATTAATCATATGAGTTTAACTGATTATTACCCTAAAAAGGATATAGGCACCAAGTTATACTGTTTTTACAAGATGGATTTGGTAGTTAATCGTTTTTAATGTACTTGATTTTTCTATAAAACTTGAACAATGGTAGTTCTTGTATTGTTATTTTCTCAAGTCTCATTTGCGCGCGCGTTTGTGTGTGGGCGGGGATTGGTTTGGGGAAGAAAGTTGTTTATAGAATTATATGAACAATTTACCAACGAGATTATTTCGTCAATTGTTAGTCTGCCGTTGGCCGTACATAAGTAAAATCTGCCATGTGCCCTAAAATGTGTGACGGGAAGAAATAACACATAGCAGTATCGGAAGACGGACAAAACCCCACACGTCAAAACCGCACACCTCAAAATTTCATAGAGTGGACAAAACCCCACACATGAATTTTATAGAATGGACATAACCCCATACATGTTGTTACTAATTTGAATAGACCTTTGTTTGACAATAAAATAACCACCATTATTGACATTTTGAATAATTAATGTTTATTAAGATATTAGGATTTATGAATGTTTACCCTCTGATTTTTATTTAACAGATTCTAATATTTGAAAGTTGACGTTTTGATCTTTATCTAACAGTTTGTAATATTAATTTTGTATAGATTATTATAATTCAATCATAATGCATTGTATATTGAAATAAAAATTAGATACAACTAAATACATGTACATGATTACCGTCCTGGCTTTCCTTCATATTTATTTAACCATTTTGTTCGGATTTTTATGCAATCTTTATCGAGATATTCTTTCCGTCGTGGGTTATGGTGTGCCCAAAATATGCAATACGTATGGAGAATGTGTCGCCAAACGGACTCCAAATACAGAGTTTCCTCAAAATCCTAACACCAAACGATACTTAATATTCAAACAACAACAAACACTTATTGAAACATTTATTGAGAATAGGCTCAACATTAAAGAAATGCTGGACAAAATTCCAGTCGAGTTTCATATGTGCTAAAGAGATCCATAGCTGATATAGGAAACCATCTAATAAACACCGGATCACTTTCATAATAGTAACTGAATAGCATGTTTGTTTTGCCACATGCTTTTCAGCGCCGAATATAAAACTAAATGTTAGTCGTAAAGGTAATAAAATATAGATAAAATATTACCTTGATTTCCATACAAAATAATAAATGAATGCTACTTTACCAATTGCCAAAAAGCAACAGAAGTCAAAGATAGCTCTAGCACTTGGCTAGTTAGCTACTTTTTGAAACTTTACTAGGACTCCAGGAATAAAAATATTGTTCGTGAACATGTCTTATAATGATGAGATTATATATGGTATTTATATTTGCCATATTTTAAAATAGACATCATTACGGTCTTTAAGTGTCAATTTAAAAGTCCGAGATATAATGCATCGGCATGCTGCAGTTTTCAAAACATGTCTGAAAGTGGAAATATTTGCATTCATATCCCAAATTTTTGGAAACTTATAGATTGATGCCACATCCGAATCACTTCTTGTGATCGATATATATGCATGTATAATGGCATTTTTATTATCTTGTGATATGACCTAGATTATTGCGACATAATGTTTGTCCCATATTTACTGTAATGATAAAATCAAATAGAAATATATGATGAAGAAACGGTTTCTTGTTGTTTTAATTCGTTTATTAGCAAATTTTGCAATTCATAAAACATACCAATTGTGGAATATCTAGGAACAGTACAAAATATAAAGTTATGAAATAACTAGTCCAATATACTACAGAAAATGATACTCTAATTGAATAACTATAAATTACACAATTTACAAATGCGATGTAGTTAATCACAATTATTAAGCAAAACAATATTCCACTATATGAGCTTTCGAGCTTATAATGCAATGTGTTAGAAGATGAATTCCATTTTGTATTATAATGTAGAATGTACTCCCAATTAAGAACACAATATATACCAATTTGTTACTGGAGATCTCCAAATATGTTTAAATTTATAGAATTAATGAATACTGAAAATCAATTGTTAATTAGAAAACTGAGTATATATATTTCAAAAGCATTCGTGATGCGCTCAGATACTTTATATGGAGCTGATTAGTATGTTAATGATTTTCATATCTGTCTATACTTTTGTTAAAACTAGACTTATAGTACTACATCGTATGTTTCTCTTATTTTATTATTGTTCGAATTGATAGGTTGGTCAATATAGGCTTGTCATATGAATATGTAATATTTCTTCTATGTCAGTCATATAAATGTGTGTTTCATCCTATATAATATAGTTTCATAGCTCAAATATATGTAAATTTTACAAGTGAAACTGCTGTTATCTAATTGTTCCTCCTCAAATCTTGTCATTAATGGCAAGACCTGGGAATGAGGAAATACATAAGTAAACATACATCTTAAGACTAAAGAGCAACTTACCGGGTGACTAATCTTGTATTTCGAATTCAATATTCAATTGAGAAAGATTTTAATCTGTCAAATTATTTTCTTTACTATTGATAGATCCAATCTAATATTGTAAAGTAATTGTAATTGTAAAGTCAGTACAATTTGATTTTTGTCACACGTAAAACTTATGTTTCATATATACTTTTGACACATACGACGAAAATGTGAATTACTATAAGCATGTAAATCATTTAATAGGTAAATACATTGTGTATGTTTTCATTTCCTATGTTAAATGTGCTATTGTAATGCATGTATGAGATCATGTCAGTTTTACACGTTTGCCATATTATATGTTTTGCATATTGTACCACATGGGTCTATGACCTTATGGGAAAAGATAAATAAACTTGTTAAACTTGTTATAATATGTATTTTTATATTTGTATCTTACATTATCACATAATACGCGGCGCAGGAGTGTAATAAATCCATTTAATAAAAACGATATTACACTAGTGTAATGACACTTTGACGTGACGTCATTTGCGCTATATATATACATAGCGTTAAAGCGCGCTAATGTTAGCGTTACACTATAGGCGCGTCATTGAATCAAAGGGCTGCAGCTCTATGGTATTTTCTGATTTTTGCAATCTAAATCATACTGACTATCTGTATGTACTTTCCTGTATAAGTTTATTTTTATATACTATAATTCATCTTACGCAGCGACAGCGTTTTGATTTTCTTCTATAACAGTTTGAGATTGATACATACGGAATTTTGCATGAAAAAAAAAAGAATTGCCTCGACTAGGATTTGAACCATAGGCCTCTCACACCCTCAACGAGACCGCTTACCTCTGCACCACGGCGAAGTTATACATTGTACCTTGAATAAAAACGAATACATTATGTAATTCTAAATTGAGAATTTCCATTTCGTGTTTGTAATCCTTATTAATTTCGAGGTATTTTGTTCACGATAAACCTGTTGTTTAACACTGATGAAATTATTTTAGCGAAAATCTTCTCGCCAAAACAGTCCGACATGTATATATATTCCACTACTCGACAGTCAGATTTATTTGTGTACTACGCTCTGGAGTATTCGGTAATCGACATAGCTAAAAATAGCATTTTCATTGATTAAAATGATATTCATGATAATCCGAAGCTTTACGGAAATAGCCGAACATTTTTCATTGGGTAAAAAAGATATTCATCCGCGAAATTTGTGATTGTAACCTCATATTTCTGTTGACTAATCTAAACTTTTAATGCACTGTAATTCGTTAAATGCCTACATTAAAAATTATTCTTTCTTTAAAATTGCTGGTTTTTAAGCAGTTTTGAGTGAGAACTACTTTGCGTTGTTAGGACTGTTAGGAAATTTTGTGTTAGACCGTGGATGTTAACTATGTATTTACTGATCTTACGATCAGAAAATACAAAAATTACCCATTTTAACAGTTTACTGTTCTTATTTTATATATGTGATAAATAGAATATTATATTCGTGTAGATTCACTACTAAATTTATTAAACTCGTTGAATAAAACAATATTATGCTCGCCAGAGGCTCGCATAATATGATTTTATTCAACTTGTTTAATAAATTTAGTATTAAACTACACTCATTCAATATCCTCTATGTAAGTTTCAAAATTGTGTCAGCGAGTTAATAATTAATGCATGCATGTCTTGAATACATGGTAAATTTTATTTATATAAAGGCAGTCTGCCTGTTAGTATACAATAATAATAATAATACAATTGTTACTTGCAAAATATATCAATGATATGATATAAGCATTGTTTACATGTCACATATCTATTACTCAGTCAATTCTTATTCATAATAACAGATCTAATATAATATAATTATTATGATACAATGAGAGTTGATACAGTACGCTGTATATCTTATTTAAACTTTTGACAGCACACATTGCTTAAATTTTAACTAACCACACAATTACAGATTCAAATAATTCACTAAATTTTAGTATGTTTGGTCTCCTCAATATGCATTTGTCTAATTTCTTGGTACAGGGGACATTCAAATAAGTATTGGAATTCATCCTCTAGAGTGTTACATAGTTTACATTCTCTTTAATATTTTTATGGCTTTATTATGACTGATACGCGTGTATAAACAAATGTTCTATAACTTTTAGAAAATGTTTTTCTCACATATTTTGTATTTATAATTCTTCTCACATGTGAGCACTGTCATAAGAGTTTTAAAAAATCCATTTTGAGAAAGTTCTTTATCAAATAATTTACAACTTTAATTCCTCTCTCCTGTGTGCAACTGTCATATGAGTTTTTAAGGTAACTTTATGAGCAAATGCTTTGTCACATATTTCACATTTCAATTTCTTCTTTCCCGTTTGCACAACCATATGAGTTTTAAGAGTACTCATTTGAGTAAATGCTTTGTCACATATTTCATATTTAAATTTCTTCTCTCCTGTGTGCACTGTGAGTTTTTAGACTGCTTTTATGAGAAAACGTTTTGTCACATATTTCAAAGTTATAATTCCTGTCTGTTGTGTGTACTGCCGTATGTAATTTCAGACTGCTATTGCGAGCAAATGCCTTATCATATATTTCACATTTATAATTCTTTTCTCATGTATGTACTGTCATATGCGTTTTAAGTTCTCTTTTATTTGCAAATACTTTGTCACACATTCCTCATTTATAATTCTTCTGTTTCTTCTGTCCTGAATGTATTTCTATATGAGATTTAAGAGTACATTTATGAGCAAATGTTTTGTCACATATTTCGAATTTATATTTCTTCTTTCCTGAATGTACTTTTATATGAGCTTTTAGATTACTCTGTTGTGAAAATCCTTTGTCACATATTTCACATTGATAATTTTTCTCTCCTGTGTGTACTGTCATATGTGTTTTCAGATAGTCATTGCGAGCAAATGCTTTGTCACATATTTCACATTGATAATTTTTCTCTCTTGTGTGTACTGTCATATGTGTTTTCAGATAGTCATTGCGAGCAAATGCTTTGTCACATATTTCACATTCATGATTTCTTTTCTCCTGTGTGTACTGCCATATGAGATTTCAGATGGCTTTTATTTGCAAATGCTTTTTCACATATTCCACATATATAATTCTTCTGTCCTGAATGTGCTTCTATATGAGATTTTAGAGTACATTTATGAGCAAACGCTTTGTCACATATTTCGCATTTATATTTCTTCTCTCCTGAATGTACTTTTATATGAGCTGTCAGATTACTCTTTTGTGCAAATGCTTTCTCACATATTTCACATTGATAATTTTTATCTCCTGTGTGTACTGCCATATGTGATTTTAGAGTACATTTATGAGAAAATGCTTTGTCACATATATCGCATTTATATTTCTTCTCTCCTGAATGTACTTTTATATGAGCTGTCAGATTACTCTTTTTTGCAAATGCTTTCTCACATATTTCACATTGATAATTCTTCTCACCTGTGTGTACTGCCATATGTGATTTCAGATCGCCCTTGCGAGCAAATGCTCTGTCACATATTTCACATTCATAATTCTTCTCACCTGTGTGTACTGCCATATGTGATTTCAGATCGCCCTTGCGAGCAAATGCTCTATCACATATTTCACATTTATTATTTTTCTCTCCTGTGTGTATTGTCATATGTGATTTCCGACTGCCATTGTTAGCAAATGCTTTGTCACATATTTCACATCTAAATTTCTTTTCTCCTGTGTGTACTGTCATATGAGTTTTAAGATTTATTTTATCTGCAAATGCTTTGTCACATATTCCACATTTATAATTCTTCTGTTCTAAATGTACTTCTAAATGAGATTTAAGAGTAACTTTATGAGCAAATGCTTTGTCACATATTTGGCATTTGTAATTCTTCTCTCTCGTGTGCACAAACATATGAATTCTAAGAGTACTTTTACGAACAAATGCTTTGTCACATATTTCACATTTAAATTTCTTCTCTCTTGTGTGCACTGTCATATGAGTTTTAAGAGTACTTTTATCTGCAAATGCTTTGTCACATATTTCACATTTATAATTCTTCTCTCCTGTGTGTACTGCCATATGTGATTTCAGATGGCAATTGCGAGCAAATGCTTTGTCACATATTTCACATTTAAATTTCTTCTCTCCTGTGTGCACTGTCATATGAGTTCTAAGATTCCTTTCATCTGCAAAGGCTTTGTCACACATTTCACATTTATAATTCTTCTCTCCTGTGTGTATTGCCATATGCATTTTAAGTAAATTGTTTCGTGAGAACAGTTGATAACAAATATCGCATTGAATTATTTTACCACCAGTATGCATTTTCGTGTGCCTGATTAAGTGGGTTCTGTTTGCAGTTTTGTATTCGCAGACATCACATTTTGATAACTGCTTTTGTTCTGTACTGCTGTTCATGTTTCTGTTTGACAATACAGTTCTTGAATCCTATAAGATAAACAAGTAAATTTTAATCCCCTTTGTATGTCCAGTATTGTTACTGAAATTTTAAGTATGGTACCAGCTTTCAATTATTGGAACTTAAATGTCAACATTAGCTCCATATTTCGAATGATGATTATTATACTGATGACGTTCCTATTTTACATAAAGGATTATCGGAGAATTTTACTATAAATTTGTCTGTTAAAATACACTGCATTGTGATAAAGTACACAGAATTAAAAATGAAATGAAGAAATTTAGATTTTTTTCTTTGGAGAAAAAATCTTAAATTTAAATATCAATGCAAGAATAATTTATGACATAAAAACAGTGCTCAATTTATCGTTAAAACGTAATTACAAATAATGATATATATATTTACCCGTGTTCTGTTAACTTTCGAATGCAGTTTGTTTCTTCTTGTTACTTTGACTTACAAACGATTGAGATATAAATTCGTTCTTATTGTGTATCATATCATGCAACTATTTTAATATAATGTCAAAGTACTTAGAAATTGGTGTTTTATAGAACACGCAGTTACTGAAACAAAAGGACATGTGAAAATTATTACCGGATATATGTAATTATTTTAATTTGTTAATTCCTGACACTTTATTTTGACACATGGAAGTAGTCTATTCATAAGTCCGACATGACCCATAAGCTATCTCAATTGCATTATCAAATTAGTGCATAACAATAAGAACTTCGTCACAATCTATTTATTATTAACAAAAGAATATATGTCAATGCCTATTATTAAGTCTTTTGTTTTCTTAAATAAAAGGTCAGAGTAGGGATCAATATCAATTAATATAAAAAAGGTCATAGTATGTATCTATCCATTATTATTATTATCATTATTATTATTATTATTATTATTATTATTATGATTATGATTATTATTATTATTATTATTATTATTATTGAATCATTAATGTTATTATTATTAATATAATTATTATTATTTAATCATAATTGTAATTATTGTTTATTATTATTATTATTATTATTATTATTATTATTATTATTATTATTATTATTATTATTATTTAATCATTTTTGTAATTATTATTATCATCATCACCACCATCATTATCATCATCATCATCATTGTTGTCGTCGTCGTCGTCATCATCATCATCACCACCACCACCATCATCATTATTACAATCATCATTATTATTACAATTATTAAATAACAAGAATAAAGATCAACAAGGTAAAGGCAACGTTCACAGGACGCCGCCCCCGGACACACCCAAGCAGGACAACCAGAAGGCACCAAACAAGTATCTGGAGTGGACACAAGGGCGAAAGGGGCGGGACATGTAATGTGAAATAATATAAACAAAAACAGGCCCATAAGGGAATTAAAGGGAAAAGGGCTGAACGGGTGTAAAGGTGGGGAGGGGGGTTAAAAATGGAAGGGGGGGGAGAGAAACTACCTACCGTCAACGACAATCCAACGAGACAGACATCACAAAACATGTAAACATCCAAAAACAAGTAACAATACAGACAAGAAAACACGTGAAGGAACACAAAGGGGTACCGCCTTGAAACGGTCAGTGGTAGTTAAACCACTGGGGAGTTTAAACCGGTTTTAGGCGCGCCAAACCTCACTCTTAGCCCCAATATGTTCCTGAATGACACAAAAATGTATATAAAATTAATTAATACACTTGTTACTATATATAGTAAACAAAATTGACTATGATTTCAACTGGGGGCCGAGAACTAGTTATCAGCCCGCAGAACATGTGCACGTGCACAAACTGAAACAACGACGTCATATTTTACGTCATCAAACAGTTACACTGTAAAAGTGAAAGTAGGTTGTCAGCACAAATCGCTTTATTTTTATTATGAGAGCTTAAGCGTATTTAGTACAAACACATTTTTGTTACTATTGAATTTTGAAGAAATAATACGACAAATTCATTCCGAAAAAAAAAATGAAAATAAAACTTGCTTCTAGATTCTACTGCTTTGAACACACAAACAGTAAACATCTCTGTACAGAACAGTAGAAGAGTAGACAAGAATTTCAACGAAAGAACTTCAAAGTATTTGTTTTGTTTTTTTAAATGCTACTATTAGATCTACCAAGTGTATTAAAGAGATTAATACACGTCAGAGTAGGGCCGGAAGGTGATAATCGGCCCTAAATGAATAATGGCCCTCGGGCTAAAGCCCTCGGGTCCATTATTCATTTTGCGGGCCGATTATCACCTTCCGGCCCTCTCCTGCCGTGTATTAACCTCTTATTCCCGCCAAGTGAAATTCTAACAATGGTCGTGGTTACATTAGACAAAATAAATAAAACACATACAAAATTATGTAGATGTAAATATGTAGAAAAAGTTACTGCCTAATGACCATTACCAAAGTACTCGATGCCTTAAGGAAGGCAGAGCAACAAGAAAATCACCTACAAGGGCCCGACGAAGCAAGGCAGAAGACGAACATTAAGACAATTCAGTCCCCAAAGGGCTTTAAGAACTGTCCATCATAGAGTCTCCCACTTGGTCCGTCAGATGTAATCAAAAGAGGAAAGCGTAGCGACCAACTGTAAAAGGGTTGAACACCAAGCATGCGGTATGCCTTTAAATAATTGGGTCATAACCTCTTTTAATAAACCGTTTGATAATTTTAGTGAAGACTGCAGAAAAATTACTATGACCCATGATCCTACGAAGTTTGTAAACCACATCTCCATAGAAGTCAGGCTTGGTAATGTAATACCTTGTCGTAAAAGAGTTTTTAAATTACAGTTAAATTTTAAAACTAAGTCTGAATTACGATGGTAAAACTTAGTAAAATATTTACGTAATTTATGATAGCGATAACCTTGTTTAAGAAGTTTGTTAGTTATAAATAAATTCACATTATGAATATTTTTTCATAGTCATTTTGAGCGGAATCTACTATACCTGATTATAACACTAATTACCCTAATTTAAGATAAAGGCACCTAGTTATACTGTTTTTATGAGATTGATTTGGTAGTAAATCGTACTACATTTTCTTGATTTTAAACATTTATTAAAAATATAAAGCTCCTTTTACGAAAATCGAAAATGTGATTCTACTCTCCTGGCATTCCTTCATATTTATTTACCCATATTGTTTGGATTTTTATGCAGTTTTCATCGAGAAATTCTTTCCGTCATGGGTTATGGTGTGCCCAAAATATGAAATATATATGGAGACTGTGTCGCCAAACGGACAAATACAGAGTGTCCTCAAAATCTAACACCAAACGATGCTTAATATTCAAACAAAAACAAACCCTTAACAGGCCTCGACACTAAATTTTTTAGCAGGTGGTACGCCGGACCACTAGATTTAAAAGTTAGGTGGTCCTTCCAGAAGTCAGGTGGTCAGTTATCATTATTATATCATTTTATTGCAAATGTAGAAAAAATGTTTAAACTTGATGACAAAGATGTATTATTAACCTTTAAAGAAAAAAGATATTTTTAGATATATATTTTTCATCTAATCAGAAAAGGGAGAGCAAGTCAGTAGGTATTTTATCGTAGAGTTATTTGTTTATTTGTTTTTATCTCAGTCAAAAATACACAACAGAGATCTTATTTATGTTAACTTATATATTAAAGTGATTTCTCCCTCAACTCAAGTTAGGGAATAGTGAAGCCATTTGTGTCTGTGAAGTGTTATTTTCTTACTGTTATTCAAATATTCATTGCTGATACGTGGTACATCTTATAATCATGATAATAATATAGCATTTTTTAACGATTAACATTTTTAATGGAACTAATAATTTATCTTATTCTTGTCTTTGAAAACAAGGAAATATCTAAATTATTAAAATAATGACAACATTATTATTTAATATAACTTATCTTATTTTTCTCACAGATTTATAATACAGAATTTTACCTCCCCGTTGCTTGTTGGTTGATATTCATTTTTGACATTGGGTATTTTTAACCTTTTAAAATAATTTTAACTCTAGAAGAAACAGATCTCTTATCGTTAACCAGTTAAAATAAAGATAAATAGCATATAATTACTAGATGTATTTTTCCAGTTCCTTTCGTTTGCTGCCATTATTCAAGTATCTGAAATTTAAGTTTATCCAATATCATATAATTACCATCATCGGATACTCACAGCTGATTAACATGTAACATAACATAAATGTTAATGGTTCCGCTATGGGTATCAGACGATGCATAATTACTAGCACCATTTGAATGAAATTTGTACCTAAATTAATTTCACAAATTCTTAACTCTTTTAACTTGCATAAACAAAATTTTTTTAGCGACTTAAAATGAAAGTTATTGATGACTTAAGAACTTCAGAGATTAATGAACCATATGCATGTACATCGGACATAGATTAATGATTTTAAACATAATTTTATAACATGTTTTTGACCAAATCGCCATTCTCCCAAATGAGCCTTGCATCAACCAGAAAATTCAAGTGGTCCAACGGACCAGTGGGTTTTAAAATTAGGTGGTCCTTGCCAAAATCAAGTGGTCTCGGACCAACGGACCACCGCTAATGTCGAGGCCTGCTTAATGAAGCATTTATTTAGAATAGGCTCAACATAAAGGAATTGCTGGACACAATAACAGTCGAGTTTCATATGTGCTGAAGAGATCCATAGCTGATATAAGAAATGATAAACAAGATCGACAAGGAAAGGCGGCGTTCAATGAACGCAAACCATCTACAAAACAACGGATCATTTTCATAATACTAACTGAATAGCAAGTTAGTTTTGCCACGTGCTTTTCAT